CTTTTAAAATTCTATGTTAATATAAAACTTACTGACTAGAACATTGGTAGTGTGTCATTTCACTACGAAATAAAAATGAGGAATTTTATTTTTTTAGCGGAAAGTTCTCTTCATGAATCGAATCGGAAAATCCTAGGAATTATTTATGCGACTTTTCCATTACCGTAGCTTTTTTAGGAAACGTGAAAATACCATCCGTCAGTTGGAAAACAAGGACCGACAGCGGGAGCAATTCATGAAGCGTACTAGTGAGGAAATCCGTCGATTACGCAAGGCTCAAAAAGAGCAGACTAAACAAGTAAGAAGTTACTTCCAAACATTGTTTTTAGATATAGGCAAGCATTCTATGGAATAGGAAGCGTTCTATTTTTGAAACTCGTAGAGCCTATAAAAAGTATTGTAGAAATAAGCGAAAAGCTGTAAGGTTTCTATTGTGGAACCTTTTCCTCATTGCAGTTCTTGTGACATGGGACCTTCATATCGTTTTTTCTTTTAATTATCCTAGCAGAAGGTCACATTTCTGATAGAGAAGTGATTGAACAGAGGGATCCCATCCAGAACAACGTGATAATCTCTCCAACTATAATATGGAAATTTACGGATTCTAAGCGCTTGTTAAGAATAAAAAATGTTAATGTTTTTTTTCAAATTTTTATTCGAAAGATTTCAGGTGAGCACAGTGTCTTAAAAAAAATAATACATATACCGTCAGAGCATTTATGCAAATTCTTTTTATAAATTTATCAAATTCTACATCCTTATGTGCTTTAGTTTTCCAAAAATTGTTGGTGATTTTAATTGAGAGATTTCTCTAGTTACATCAGGAACATGCATCGGGGAAAAACCAAAAAGGGTTACGGTTAAAGTGGTTCGGAATTCTATTCAGGGATTATTCCTGTAGGTGACATCTTCAACTTTATGAACTTGATTATTTAAAGAGGATGAACACTACATTCCTTTCTGGTGGATTTTTTAAGACCTGAAATTTATCTCAAATTAATGTATTCAGGTTCATCCAAGTGCTACATCGCGGATGGCTTCACAACGTGTGGTGCCACTGCGTTCAGCTCGAACACCTTTTATTAAAGGACAACCGCCACCTGAAGTAGCTTTCTCACCGAGACAGGCGAAGATGAAGTGGTCATTTATTGAGAGGAAGGTTCTCTATTGTGACAGCTTTTTTACTTATTACAGTTTAAACACTTTAGTTGAAGATAGGTTGTTGGCTTTTTATTCGTAGTTGCTTAAGAATGTCTCAAAACAGTACATTTGCCATAGTAGATTGGTTTGTCGTTATTCGGGTTGTTATCAATGACTTGTCGTTGTTAACAGCACCTATTTACTGGGATACTTCGATGACCCGTCATCATTGGTTGTGCGGCCCTCAGCATAATTCCCATTTTTCGAAGTTTTGCTGATTTAGCCAATGTGGTTTCTTGCAGTCCCGAGGTCTGCTTAGCCAAAGTCTGCCCCAGGTGTTCTCCGCCACAGACAGTCGCAGCCCTTGCGGATCACAAGGAGATTTGCCACTATGAGATTTTAATAATGACGGTGGATCCTAGTCTTCGTTTGCTCTTAGCTAGGCTTCCTGATAGAGACGTCGGACTCCTCAGCTTGGGAGACTCTGCCAAGGGATGAATCTCCCGCTGTACATTGCAGCCAGACTACCATGGGCACTTCCCAACTACGATGAGGCGGTAAACCGTTTGTTCCACATTCTTCGGAATATTCTGGGCACATCCTCCAGCTTACGAAGTTGATCATCACAAGCTTTTTGACTGTCTACGTCTTTATGGCCTTGTTAACCATTGTTGACAATCCGAATAACGACTGAAAATGTCATCAAGGAAGGAGGGATTGCGCAGTGGCTATTAATACAGTCCGTTACCAGCCAAACGGGTGATTGGACCCGCTTCCCAATGCTCTCCTCCAATCCATGTGGGAACGCATGAGCTCGGCTGTCTCCAAGATTACGATAATCGGCTCGATATGCAGTTTACGACATTCATGAAAAAGGCTAAATACGCAAGCACCAGCCGAAGCAGAACGGGAGCTGTTCGAATGCCTTTGTAGACGATGAATGCTGAGAAAGCGAATCGAATGCGTAAAGTACTGGTTTCCACACAGTATATGTGATGGCCGGTCATGTAAATATATTTTTTTATTTTGTATGACCCGTCTAACTGTACGGATCCCTGCACTTCTCACATTTTTCGTTTCCTTGCATCCATTGTCCACGAACATCTTCCAACTTTCCGTGTTGCTTCGGTTGCTGCTTCTTGAGGATTTTCATTTCATCTTGAACGCCATAAAATGCTGGTGGCGCAACTCTCCGTGTAGTTCTGGGATACCCGGGTTGGAGCGTTGCCAGTTGGATTGCAGAGAGTGGTTTTTTCCTAGACAAGTCTGTTACTAATTAACCGAGGTTGAGAGGCTTGGTTGGTCCGAAGCAGGATCGAACCAGCACCATGCTCGTGATGATGGACATCACTACCACTGTGCTATCCGCCCCTCATGTAAATATATATACATATGTATACATGCGTACATGTGCGGAAACTATATACAAATATATGTGTGTGTATATGTATGCATATATATTCAAATATATTATATATTGGGAGGTGTTCCTGCCTGTCGCGTTGCGATGTGCAGTGACGGGATTCATCCCCCGGAAGGGTATCCCAAACTCAGGAAGCCCAGCGAAGAGTAAACCAATACCAGGATCCACCACCGTCCTGGTACTGTACTAGTCGCATGATGACAAATCTTTTTATTCACAAAGACGGCGACTGCATGTGGTGGTGACGGCTTGTAGCAGACTTTGGTCAGTGTGACCTTGGGACTACAGGGGAACACAATAGCTAAGGCAAGAAAACTCCGGAAAATGGAGAATATGGTGGGGTCCGCACAACCAGTGAGGACGGGCCGTCCAAATATCCAGTGAAGTAAGTATAGATAAATGTATGTAGGAAGAGAATGGAGAGAATTTATTTATTAGTTAGCTTGATACATAGATGGCCTCACATGCCCTTCACATCTTGGATTCATTTCGCAGTCTTGCAACAGTTTTCCATCGACTCTGTTTCGTGCTTGAACTAGAGTGAGATTTGGTGTTTCCTTGATTTCTGTCCTTTTTGAAATATTGAATTTTGATCAAACGTAGAGTTCTCTGGAATCAGAGCATGAGCGTACTGGAGGGTTATCTTCAACGCGGTCCTTTGAATGATGATAATGACCGCTTGTTTTTTTTCTTTCCGAGTAAAAGTGGTAGTTTTAGAACTTACTCTTTACCTTTTTATGTCAAGGGCAGATCAGATAGAATCGTGTTAATCGACTTGTTCATTCTAGCCTTTTAAGAAAAGATATTGAGACCAGTTTTCAGTAAGAGGATTAATTTGATGAAAATCTTATGTCGTAATTTACATATTTATTGATCGACAGTATTATTTCGACTATGTTCTACAGGTTTTCAGCTGTTTCTGAATTTCGCCTTCATTCAGCGCACCAGTTTTTGGATATGTGACTAAGTTCGAAATTCAAATGTTGTTAATGAAGTCAAGCTATCCCTCGCTGATTCGAATGTGTCAACTATTTAGAAGACATTGGTGGGCAGACGACTAGAAGAGGTTTGCGTAGAAAGCGTAGACTAAAAGACTGCGTGCAAAATTTATGTCGTTGTTGGCTTAGGACGAAGCGTGGCGTTTGAGTAGTCAGTGAAGGGGAATATGTTGATGCATGTACACTCTGCTGCTGAATGCACTTTTATTTCCTCATATAAAATCATTGTTTAATTTTCGCTGGTTATTTTAATTGAACCCATTTGAATACGTCGTCATGTAACGCAGTGGCTAGGAGTGCTCTGCACTATCTCCTCTACGATACGTGATGTCGTCGAATGGTGGCACATCCCTTTAACTTTAATCAACTGCGAATGCCTTGTATGTTAATATGTAGATGTTTTGTTGATGTGTAGATAGCAGATTGTTACAACAGTGTTTTTTTCACTATGGATGACGTTCTGGGGAATTCCGACTTCTCCAGAGCCTGGATGAAGTCGAAATGATGTGCAATCTGCTTAACCAAGATTTTTCCTAACACCAATATAAAAAACATGAAATCTAAATTTTAATTGCATGAGATTCGTATTATCCTTTATCCTTTATTTGAATATGTAAAATATGAGAGCACTTGGTAATACATAAATGTAGCTGCTCGAGTAACAACTTTTATAAGACAAATTCCTGATTATTTGTGACTTTTTCTTAAAAAGGGTTACAAACTAGGCTCAAATAATCCGCAAATATTTAATATGGTTCCGTGTTGGATTGTAATAAAATCTACTGGTGTAAATCTTTGTACTGCTTTTTACCCGCTTTCAGATATGTCGCCTAGTCACGCAAAAGCAGACGGTCGGTAAAATGGAAGAGGAGCTCTGTAGACTACTTGACGAGCGAAGTCGTCTTGTTGATGAGATTACGAGACTTGTGAGAGACTTTTTCGGAATTGTTAAAAATATTTATGACAAGTCCTTAGAAGGTTATTTTGGAGAAGGTCTTGGAAGTCTGTTTTGGATTTCCTGCCCTTTCACTTTAAGCTCTATCTCGCAGTAAACTTCTATAATGAGGCTTGAGAATGTTTATACCCAGCCCGACACTCTCCAGTTTGCGCTCTAGTGAGGTCCACTAACTTTATGTGTTTTGGCATCCTTTTATGTGTTATGGCAGTATTTTTATGTGATTAGCGTGTAAGTGGTATATCCAATTTTATCCACCCAGTGAACACTTGATTTTTCATGCCAAGGAGCGAAGAAGGCCGCTAAGAGCCAGAAGACCAGTCGTGCTGGAGACAAGAAGAAGAAGAAGCATCGTCGGAAGGAGAGTTAATTCGTCTACATCTACCGTGTGCTCAAGCAAGTTCACCCGACACCGGAGTTTCGTCACAGGCGTTGTCCATTATGAACTCGTTTGTGAACGCCGTATTAGAACGTATTGCTGCTAATGCTTCGCGTATTGCTCACTACAACAAGCGATGGACCATCTCGTCCCGCAGCAATTCAGTCCGCTTTCCGGCCGGTCCTCCCAGGAGAGCTCGCCGAGCATGCCGTGTCCAATGGCACAAAGGCTGTCACCAATTATATACTTTTAGATAAAAATTCTGCCTACTTTGTAGTTATTAGTATGTTTTTAAAACATATACAATTTCTTAAAGATTCTACTAATCTCTAGAAACACATTCTCATTCATTCTCGATCATCATCCAGCGGTGTTTCTTGAAAAAGCAGAAAGTAGCTATAATAAGTTTCTTTTAAAAACACTAGGAAAATTGATACTTTATTCTAAATCGAGAACAGACCTCTGAGTAGAGTCTTACCGGTTTCACGAATTTGGACCATATAATTCTTTGTGTATTTTTCGACATTCACCAGTGTGAAGTTTACGTACATCGGCACCATTTTGAATTTTTCGCGTTAAATATTGTTACGAATTTACTTAAATGCTACGTAGTCACATGTCGTGCAGTTAACAACACTTCGACTCTTACCGCTACTGTTTTGCCGCCATCACTCACCGAGTAATCGCGTTCTCCTTTTCGGCTGCGGTGTGACGTCTTCAAAGCTGTGAACATAACTAGTTTACGCGTGAAATGAAAATTTCGTACAATCGTTTTGGTGGACTCCCTACAGGTCGTTTTGATCATTCTTAGATCGACTTCAATGTTTTTTTCTGCGTATCATGTTCCGTTCTCATATGAACAATCCAACAATTTTTTCTTTCTTGAGACATAAGCCACTGCGTCTCGAATACCAGATATTCTTCTGCTTGACGTCTTCTACCGCGCGCTCTGAAGCCGTCACCCATGTTCACAGGTCATTTCAGGTTATGTAGGGTAATGTGGTCTTCTCAACTGCACCAGACGAGACCAGACCGGTCCCACACCAGACGTTGATCAGGAAGTTGCTTTTCTTCGAGTTTGATTTTCCCCCGGTTCCTTTCAGGTCGATAAACATTTCATCTACTTATGCGCTACTGTATGAAACGGTGAAAATTAGTGATATAACGAAAGTTAAATAAGGATCGTACATCAACGTGTTACTTTTTGCTGTTGGAGAGGAGTCGTACTCCAACACGTAACTTTTTGTTGTCTCGCTCGAATGACTGCATGCGCCAATTTAGCTCGACGGTAAATAACGTTGATAATGTTATACTTTTTTATTTCCTGCCTACCATAATTTCGCGGCAGGGTACTAAGCGAAATACAACCATAACGTTGCTGAGATATTTGCAAAACTCTGGACCGCAGGTGTCTATGGTGGGGAACGAACGCGCTATTGTCCTATAGCTGAGAGACAGGCGGAACGAAGGACCCGCATGGTGTGGTGGTGAACGCGTTACTCCCCGGAAAGGACAATAGCGCGTTCGCTCCCCACCATAGACACCTGCGGTCCAGAGTTTTGCAAATATCTCACCAACATTGTGGTTGATAATATTGTTTCTTTCCTCCGTACTGCTTTTTTTTTTTTACATGAGACGTCATTACGACTACTCCGCGGATCCCACCACTTTTTGCGTCGTATTCGTTTTCCTAGCATTCATAGTCCACAATGGTCTTCAAACACCTCGCATTTTTTGAGCTGATGCTTGAGGATTTCATCTTCATTATGAATGTCACAGACTGCTGGTGGAGTCGATTCTCCTTGGAATCTTGAGAGCCAGTGAGGGAGTTCCGATGTGAGTTGGACGAAAGCGTTGGAGAGAGGTGGAACTAGCGCCTTTGTTTCCTCATCGACGGCATCACCAACCAGTGTGCTAGGCCCCCTCTCCGTATTGCTTCCATCAATTGGAAATAGTGAGGCATGGTGAAAAAAGTGTACTGTCGTTGTATAGTGATTGTTAAAATTAGCAAGCTAAACAAATTATTCACCTGTTATAGGTTAATTTTATTTGTAAACTGAGGGCAATTGGCAGAAGTAATGGAGTACAGGTGGAATCGGTTTGTGAATTTAACTTATAGTTGAGAATAGTTGAGAATACTTTCCGCCAGAGGTGGGAAAGGGAACGTTAAAGCATCCGTTAGAAGCGGTATAAATGGCCTGGTTGGATATGTTTTAGAAAACCTGGTAATTTCCTTTTTATTTCAGGAGCGCCGTTTTGTTTCGATCAGTGAAATCGACGAACGAGAAGCAGTTGCAGACGAAATCGATGGCTGTGAGCAGAAGTTAAAATACGTGCAAGATCAGATAGCAGAGACGCAGACGGCGATAGTTGATATGGACAGACCAGATAAGGTAATGTTTCACTTCCACTCAATGCTTACAGTACAGTGTTTTCCTTTTGCTCTCTCCGAATTGGCTGGCACCACAAATGGTGCACAAATTCTCCTCATTGTTAGGAAAGGTGTGTTATCGGTGAATGGCTTGCTTCGTCGAGTCACTAGCTATTTCCTTTTTATCTGTAATGAGTGTAAATATAATTCAGTCATTGTGAGCAGTAAAACATCTTTAAAAAACTCGGTATAATGAGATGCCAGCTGTACGCATCCAGATTTCAACGCAGTGGATTTCATTTTAACTTTCTGTAAGATTCATTGTTTCAGTCATGCAGCTCTAAGGGGTTCATATAGTAAACATACCACAGCTAAGCGTTTCATTCTTTTTGTCTCGTTTTCAAAACCATCGTAAAATTTTCGATCAAGAATTCTGATCTGTTTGTTAAACCATTAGAGTTGTGAGAATCATAGAAACCATACTCAAACAGTCAATCATGTTTCATTTACTATTTTGTGGTTAAAGGTGGATTCGTGAATCACTGCAAAGTATTCGATGAACTATTTCTTTGGCCTAATTAGAAGCTAATATACTAGCAACGACAGAGCAGTAATATTTATTTCATTGTCATGGAAGGCAAACCTATTATCTATTAGTAAAAGTGAAAGTCTTTTCAAGTTAAAGAAGGAAAGTCGAAAAAATTCAAAAAACTTTTTAGATTGGAATTAAAGTTTTAAACCACAATGAAACTGAGATATTTGCAAAACTCCGAAACGCGGGTGATCTCAACATCATTGTGGTTGTCTCCTGCGGCTAAAAATAGTAGCTAGTAAATAAAAAGTTAGAGTGAGAATTTTAAAATAAAATTTTTGAAAGATTAGTTACTAATGAAAAGATCGTCAGGTATCGTACATTTCCAGGTCAAGAAGAAAACGGTTCTGACAGAGTGAGATTTCATAATAGTATTTTGAGTTCAAGCTCTTTATGTCACTGAGGATTTCTCCAGTTTTTAAAGAGTACTGTGGCAGTATTTCGTTGTCATCTTCCACATATTTTTGAAAAAGTAAAGAGCTCACCGCTTCTTGATCGGTCCTTATAGTTGTGAAGGATTTGAAATTTTTCTTTTATTGATTTGAACTTAGACGGATTAGGGAATTCCATTACACGATTTTTACAAGTATTTATAAAGTTTTGTAAACCAGATCAGTTACATAGATATTTTTAGCTTATTATGTACGGCTTATTCTTTTTAATGGCAGGAAAAGCGAGCGAAACGAAGGAGCCGCTTGGTGTGGTGGTGAACGCATTAGCCCCCGGAAAGGGTAATAACGCGTTCGTTCCCCGCCGCAGACACCTGCGGTCTGGAGTTTTGCAAATATCTCAGCGTCATTGAAGTTACATAGATATTCTGTAATTCGTGGAAAAGTTTTATTTCATTAGCTTTTTCCATTTATTTTTTGCAGCAGTTATAATGAGTTCTTTAATGCTTGTTAGTGTTTTGGTATCCTCGTTTCTCGTCTCTTATATTTCTATTTAATCTGTGGAAACCCTAGAAACACCACTTTAACGATGTTTTTCCCAAAGCGTGTAAGTCGACAAGAGCATCTGATTTATCAGAATGAGAAAACGAAACAAACATATGAAAATGGAGCTTAAATATTTCGAATGTTTAACAATACGGACACACATGTTGTGGCATTGTCAACTAACTGAAGCAGTGTAAACTGCTGCAGTTGTAGTGGTGGTACAATACTACAATGCTGCTTAAAATGAAAGCATAGAAACGGCTTTATGTACAGAGGTGCTACATATACATATGTATATATTTATATATATGCATATACATACGCATACATATATGTGTAGGCGTATGTATATTTATGTATATATAAGACATGCAATACTTATGCACCGTATCTTAACCGCAAATTCGCTAATGAGATTCGAGATTTTGACAACTTTAAACCAATCATTAACAGAATTCCAATTGTAAAAACAAGGTTTGCCATACATAGAACATGAATAAAGTTCTGTGAAAAACAGGATGAACACAGGCATTATATATTCTGCCTATGTGATTATCCCGGTCTGCATAGGAAATTTTAGTGCTAATTAATTAGTATGATGCAATGGCCAAAATGAATGAGCGCGACAGTAGAGTGAACGTAACATTAGCCAATAACACTGATTCTGATTAAGCGCTTCTGTGTTGTCGCCTGTAGTTTCTAGGCGTTTGTTTATTTGACAATAGATATCGGGAGCATATAGTCTCGTACAAAAACCGAGCTGAGATATTAGACTCTACGTGCACCTGACGATGTCTTCTATGTCAGTTCAGACGCTTCACAATATTTTTTAAAGGGTCAGCTTAGTTTTAAAAGACGTTCCTTACAAGTATTTTACAATTCCTTCTAATTGATGTCAAACCACTAGCTCACACAACATTGCTTTATAAGAGTCTAATGACATGAAAATACCTTAAGGTTTTTTTATTACTCGCAATGATTGTGGACTTAAACGTAAAGTTCGAGGCGTCGCCGTGCGACGATAGTGATGAACAATGATAATAGCAATGATAGAAAAAAAAGCGAAGGACAACAACTTAATTTAGAGAAGTGGTACTCGCCCAGAAAGTGGCGGCTGGTCAGAAATGATCAATATCAATAGTTACGAGAGTGAGAGGCGAATGGGTTGGTGAGACGATGAAATAAGGTAAATAGTAGGAATAATGTACGAAATGGAGGTATTAAACTTGTGTAGGATAGTCGTCACTACCCCCAATGCCTGATGTAGGTAGAGATTTCTTACTGACTCGTGCCCCAATCGTAGAACGACGTTGCGATAAGTCCGGAAGCGCTTCTGGCTCAGGTGGGCTAAAAATAACAATGAAGCGTGTGCTATAATTACTTATGTTCTGTGTAATGTTTCTGCAACTGTGTGGTTTCTGTGGATATGGAATATTAACTGGTTTAAAATACTTTGGACGGCACTAAATTCCAAGTGTAGTAGTAAAAGTATTAGCGATACATATCGATGCCAAAAAGTAACCAACTGTTTGGCTCGTTTTATGGTCATGAATGCGAGGAAGGCGAACATCACAGCACAAAGAGCAGCACCAGTGGCAAAAACAGCTCTCCTCCATCCTGGCTCCCGACTAAATGCGGCTAACCAGATGCTAATTGCTATGCTGATGACAGATCCCATAACACAGAGAAAAGTCTGAAAGAGTGGAAGAATTCCTAGAACACTGAGGAAGTATGCAATTGCTGGTCCACCCGCACCTGTCCTCCTGGTGTCATACGTGAGTGTGATTGCGAAGGTGCGGTAAAAATTTGTTTGACACCGGTTTTACCTCCATAGAGTGCAGTGTCACTTTGAAAACTTCCCTGAATTTGGTTTACTGACTATACGAATGAGGTGCATATCACGAATGTTCAAGAATTTACTCAACTGTATTTGCATGAAGAAGTACCTAATAGAACCTATTAAACTAAGGAATATAAACACAAATGGTTATTAGAACAGGTAACTGAACAGGGGTTTAAGAATTCGATATATGCAAATTAGTTTACCTTAACAATACTTGAGCGTTTCCGGTCAGCATCCAAACTAGCAGAAATTTTAGCATCGGTGGTAGCCATATCAGTGGTTATAGAACGTTTTCAAAACTGTTTAGGCAAGTGTTTTAGACCTAAAAATTGCACGGTCTCCACCGAGATCTGAGTTGTAGTGTTAAATATGGATTGGTATAATAACGTGGTGGATTTAGTGAGTCGAATACGGTGGTGACTCTCATCTTGTGAAATCCTAGTAAATATTGGAAAAAGATGGATTATATAATGTACAGAGAGGTTGAAAAGTTGGATATCTGGCATTCATAATGTAATGGTGTGAAATATGCCGTGACTAGTGATGCTCTTCGGACGTTGTTTACGGGGACGGATGCGCTAAAGTAAGCCATTCGTTATAACAGACAAAATTAGCGTAGTCATGTGTACATCAAGACAGTTTCTATACTTTTTCTAGAGAATCGATAAGCTTAAGCAGAAGCGCTAAGTGCGGTGAGTGCTATTAGTAGAAAGACTATGTGCGATAATGGTTACAACTTTTCCAAAACTCGATACACCATTCTGTTTCGTTGTTCTCGCCGATATACTTTTGTCTTACATAAGAATTAATGAATAATTTGCAAAACAAACACTTCTGTGTACCTCGAAGCCTCTTCCAGTACCCGTCTTTATGGGCTTTACTCTAATGATGGGGTGTTCATAAGCTAATGGTAGCAAGATGAAAATACGTACTAAGTCTCAGTTAACCCATAACGCCCTGTGTAGACAATACGGTTTTCATAGCGGCATGTACCAAGACCAAGCGACCATATACCATAACTAGCCTTCTCAGCGAACTATAGTGTCAATGTGTCGTTTTCTTGTTCAGTAATCGCGAGGTTTTTAAACAGCATACATTTACTTCCATAGAGAAACAATACAATACAACACTAGCTGGCGCTTCGGCAGTATCGCCTTCTTCAGAACCGCTTTTTTGTGACTTCCAATGAAGAAGTTTAGAACAGCTGATTATCTAAAAATTATCTATTATCTAAATCTAATTACCGAGGTTAATAGAAAGTCGATCCTGGGAACTATAGTGTCAGTATTCAGTTTAGTGCATTCCAGAGTTCTTGTCTCATTGTATGTATTAATCCATTAGCTGACTGAAAGGAGATTGAAGTAGGAGGGGTGGAACTACATGGACTATACGCTCAATGATTTATTAACAACCTTATTTCCAAAGTGTTCATTAACAATTAATTGGACTAATAACTTATTTCATTTTAATCACTACGGTTGTAGTAGGAAATGTGCGGATATAAAAATATCGAGATAGACTCAAGCGAAAATACTTCCGAATTTCGACGGTAATGTATTTGCATAATGGACTAGAGTTAACACACAATAAGTAGTGGGACGCACATCATTCATATCCATACAACGATGGAGCGAAGTCTCTTCTACAATCCTGTTATGTTCATAACCCCTCAACCCTCTAGTTATTGGGGAACTATTTTTTGTAGTCAATAAACCAGGAGTGTGTGCAGCCGACGAGGAATTGCTCCTATTCAACTGGGCCAGCCGCGAAAAATGGCGCCGGGGTGTTACTGGTTAAGCGAAATCTGTGATTAGGCTATGTGTTCCAAGTTATGAGCAGAGGTAAAACTATTCCGTGAATTCCTATGGACTGAATGGAAATTCTCAAAAGTTGCGCATTTCGTACTAGACTGGCCGCAGGATTCTGAGTGTTTTCAGACTGATGGATCTTCAGAGGTATGAAGAAGCGAGTGTTTTTTGGTAAAACTTCGAAACAAGGTATGAGTCAAAATTCTCAGCTTGTAGTTAATAACATTAAGTATAATAGAATGATGAGAAGGCTGGATAGTTGGAGGAATTAATGTGGATTTAATATAAAATATGTAACAATTCAATAACACATCTGGAGGACAAGGGCGCGTGCGGCACAGTGGTTGGAGGCACCACTTCGGCACACACGTGGAATCGATCCCCGCTCCCATGGCCCACTAAGCCTTTCATCTCTCTGGGGTCAGCAAATTGGTACCAGACTTGTCTGGGAGGATAGCAGCACTGGCTCGATACATCAGGAGGCCACCGCGAGTCGTTGTAAAGGTCAAATATGCATTCATTCACTTCCAACGATACTTAATGAAATCGAATGCATGGCACATCTTTCAGGGATTGATCGACGCCGATAGTTTTATCCTTCTATCCTTTATTTGGATGACAGGGACTTCCAAAATAGTTAGGAATTACTGTAAGCGAATATATAATGCTTCTTGTTGAGTACACAACCGTCGGAAGGTCAGTGTTAGTTGAAGACGTGGTGAGGTTCACACGGATGTTGAGTTTGCCATGCGGCGAGCGGATGAGGGGAGAGCTGAAGGGCACTGGCAGCGCCGAAGGATGTCAACAAACGCAAATTACACGCTCACGCATGACCAATTAGAACTGCGGCGTCTGAGATGGCCAGCCACGCTGTATTGTGTTATCATCCTCTATTTTAGTTTAGAATTGTAGGATCATGAGATAATGTTCAGAATGTGCCTATCGTCTGTGTACCAGCCCGGCCGGGTGCAATTGATCGTGCCTCAAGGCTCATCATCTTAAATTCTGCACTTGTGCGGATTGTTATTATTACTTCTGGCTGCGCTTTCAATAAAACGGATTACTAAAATGGATCGTGCAGTGTTCAGTATTCATTGGTTTTTCTATAATCAATGTTACGTAAACATTTGAAATTAGCAGGACTCGTAGAAGAAAGTTGAGACAGAAATCCAATTAAGGAAGGATTATTTTACTTTATTCATTTAGATCAATTCACGCATAGTGCGGATACTAATAGTTCTTTCTTTCCCTTGTTATCACGCATTCGTCATCCACTAAAATCGTCAGATTTTCACGTGAGTTCAGCTGCAAGGGTACCATATCGTCTTCACGAATGTCGTGGTGCATGTGAATCTCCCTGGAGTTCTCGAATAGTGCTACTACAGCATACCGAGGTGAGGTCTTAAACCATAGACAGATAATGGACTCTGTGAATCGGATGGACTTCTCGCCAAGGCTTGGTTGTGCAGAGGACGTTCCAATCACTAACCATACTGCTATTGCTCGGCATCTCGAACCACTTCGCTTCCCCGACCTCATAATATGACCATATTTTTGAAACATTGAAACTAGTGATTACATTAAACATTGAAACTACATTATACTTCCACGTGATTTCTGTGCGGTTGGTCTCTACGTGACATACTTAGTGGAAACCTCATAGAAAGCGGCTCTGAAGAAGGCGAAATCCGCCGAAATGTCAGCTTAATCGTGAACAAAGAATAGTAACACCTCGCGTTTGCTCAACAAAAATACGAAGAAAATCACTTGATCAATGCCGAGGTTAATAGAAAGTCGGTCGTGGCAGTTACATTGAAACTAATTTTCTCAATTATCAAATTGCAGAGTGTCGTTTGTATCTGATTGTGTACCTTTCTCATACTTAATACTTGATACTTGAATGGGCCGTCCTCACTGGTTGTGCGGGCCCCAGCATAATCTCCATTTTTCGGAGATGTGCTGGTTAAGCCATTACGGTTCCCTGGAGTTCCGAGGACAGCCTGGCCAAAGTCTGCCCACGGTCGTTACCAACACGGGCAGTCGCAGCGCTTGTGGATCAGTGGGAGATTTACCAACATGCGACTTTGATACCAGGACGGTGGTGGATCCTGGTATTGGATTGGTTTACTCTTAGCTAGGTTTCCTGATGGAAACGCCGGACTTCTTCTCAGCTTGGGAGGCACTGCCAGGAGATGATTCCCCCGGTGTACATCGTAGTCCGGCATCCAGGAGCACCTCCCAGCCACGATGAGGCGGTAAACCGTTGGGGAGACCTTTCTCGTATTACGTGTGAATGCATTGCTATGTGGACGAACCTTTGTAGGACATTGGTTCGATTAGGAGTGAGTTATGTTTCGGGAAGCGATAAATTTTTAAACAAATGGTTCACCTCGAATTGCTCATATTCGGAGTGTGCTGACAGTATACATGCGTGCGGTGGGTTTTTAATCGTGGTTAGTTAAAATTTTCTCGAAAGAATCTCACTGCCATTGTAGAGAATTTTAAGTTGTTATTCATGTTGCTGACATAGATTTGTTAACACATTAGCGTGCGTGTAAATCACATATCGGCCATAAGGTGAAAACAATGGTTTTTGTCAACTTCTATCGAAGATATCTTTGCACATATTGACACTTACTCATTGAGACTTACACACTTACTCATTGAGATAAAGCCAGTAGAATCTTAACCCACGAGATAGACGTTTTCCTTATTCGAGGGTGTTCTAGAGCCTACGAAATGTAATCTTTTTTACAAGTCAAAACCTTTAGTGTCTCAAAAATGGGAACAAATGAACAAGAGAGATTTTGTCCACTCCTATGCATTGAGTCTGCTACAACTGCACTGGAAATTTTAAAAATTTAAATTCCCCTTTTAGTTCTTTGGGAGTTTTGGTTCCAAAAATATTTTAAATTGAAAAAGTAATTTACAAAAGCTATCTTCTACCGCGTAGAAAGAACAAGCTCTCTTACTTAACTACCTCAACTACACAAATACTTTGGTGATCAAAAAATAATCAACGTTTATCAAAACACTGGTTGACCTGTGACGCAGTGGAGAAGGCTGTCCTATAATATATACATTTTCGGCTCGAATCTACTCAACGAGCCAACCAAGCACCCTACTCATACGGGTTCTATAGTTTGCTACAATACTTGTCTAAGTTTCTAAAAATTGCTAGCACAGTAGTACGCAACTGCAAGTCGACGTGTGTGCAAAATATGAATTCGCTTATCTTTTTGATGCTTAGTGAAGTTAAATCGCTTTTGCATCCTTTAGGGATTGACAGATCCCGGATGCTTTATTGTTTGTCAGAAAACGATTGCTAATCTGGTTACTTATTCGGTTTATGCAAAAGTAGCGTTCATTCTTGTCGCCATGAAATTTGTAAATAAGTTTTGCAAAATTTACTTTTTTGGACTGTTGATCTATACCACTTTAAGGCCTATTCATTTCTTAACATTTCGACATATATTTTTTTCAGAGAATTATTTTAAAATGAATTGATGCAGGCTTACATGTCTCCTATTTAGCGGGCTAAATAAATCAATCGAATTAATTGTGCCTAACTGGCAGAAATGTGTTAATAAAGCTGCAGCTGAATCATAACAGTTGGGATTTGCAGTTTATAAACGACCGTTTCTTGGTACTTGAATGGCCCGTCCTCACTGGTTATGCGGGCCCCAGAATATTCTCCACTCATCCGAGTTTCGCTGGTTTAGCCATTGTGGTTCCCTGAAGTCCCAGAGTCATTTTAGCCAAAATCTGCCCTAGGTCGTCACTACTACAGGCAGTCGCCGTCGTTGTGGATCAGAGAGAGATTTGCCACTATGCAACTAGTTTGATGCCAGGACGGTGGTGGATTCTGGTATTGGTTTACTTTTAGCTGGGGTTCCCGATGAAACCACCGGACTCCTTCTCGTCTTGAGAGACTCTGCCTAGGAGATGAATCACCCCGCTGTACATCGTAGCCCGACAACCAGGAACACTTCCTAGCCACGACGAGGCGGTAAACCGTTGGAAGTATGACCAAATAAGATTATTTATTTAATATTTTCGGCAGAAAATAACTTATTAAGGCAAAACTTGAAAGTCAGAAAACTTCTAGTTTTCCAGCAGTACACTGGTACATTGTCAGTAAGCGACCAAGCAGTTAAGTCAAAAACAGACGACAATTTCTAGTAACTGGTTAATTAGGAATACCGTTTTCTATTTGATTTCTAGAGATTTGAATGTTTGTTACTGCTAGACATTTTATCTGGTCCCTCTGAAGAATGAACTTTTAAAACCATTTAAACAAAAATCAAAAGTAGATTTTTTGACGCATGAATATCATAGATCAGCCAACTTCATACGGAAATCTGGAGACGTTTACACATGGCGTATGCAAAGATACGAATCGAGTTCATGAAGTATTAAGACCCGCAAATGCGTGATTTTGGGTCATGTACAGTAAAGATGATAAAATATGCTATGATTCATACTTCAATGTGATCTTAATATGTTTTGTATAACCTACTGTTATCTTTAAGGGCTCATGTAGGACTGTAGTTAGAGGTGTCTTGCAATGCACACATGATCATTGTTTCGATTCGACGCCCCGCGCTCATTAAGCCTTCCATTCCTTCGGGGTCCAGGAATTAGGATCATACTTGTCTGGGAGAAGAGTAGCCCTGACTTGATTCATCGGTAGGACGTCGCAAGTCATTGTATAGGCCAAATATGCAATCAGTCACATCTCACGATGCCTAATGGAAATCTTTCTGAGATTGATCAACGACGAATGATTTATCCTTCATCATTTACATGACCTAATGTACTTATGTCCATCTCTTCAGGATGGTGACGTTGAAAATAGCGATGAAACGACAAATCTGGGAGAAATTGAAGGAGTGATCGAACACTGCTCGAATCTCGTTGAAGCTAAATACCTTATGCAACACTTATTTAGCGCCTGCATTGATCACGCGGTGGCGGCTGCAAGAGCCGATTCGCAGAATAAGGTTAGTGACAACATCGTTCTCCCTTAAAGTTGGTATGGATTCAAATAGAAAGTCTGGGGCAGTTATCACTTTATAATCAGATCATCTTTGAGACATTTCTTAATACTCATCCAGTGGAAGGTCTGGAAGGTATTTGTGAATTCAAAATGTGGTTCCCTCCAACTTTTTAATTACCACAGTTTTGCAGTTTACCACGGGCGTGCACATTTTCAAGCTCGATCATTGCGCATGAATTAGAATGAAAGACTTTCTGATGCGACATACATCTACTTAAATTCGCTTTCATATAGTTGTAACAAGTACTTAATTAACACTATGTTGCGAGGTTAAAACAACAAGCAGAGATTTCCCTAAATAGCAAGACTGACGGTGGTATGATAGTGGTATGAAACGTCTCCTAACAAATCAAAGAGCGTGTATAGCGCACTGTTAGAGATATCCTGCAATACATGAATGGTCGTTCATTCAATCCTGCACCACGTGCAAACTAAGCCAACCGTTTCTCTGCAGTTAACGAATTAGTGCCAAACTTAGCGAAATAATAAAAACAGTCTTAATTTTATCGGCACGCCATCGTGAGTCACTATGTTCGCGAAATACGCATTCAGTTATTTTTCAGTGCTTAATGAAGGTTAATGCATGGCCGATCCCTAAGCAGTTGATTAACGCCAAGCACTCTATCGTTTATCCACTTTATCAAATAACATAAGGCGTATATTTTTAACTATCATGAAAACGACAGTATTGAAGTACGAGTATTGGGAAATGGCTTAGCACTGACTTTTAACACGTTTTCCGTTTCAAATAAGCTCATTGATAACGTTTTACTGTAAGCTGTGTTCTAATCCTGTGATGTGATCCGGAACTAATTTTAGCGAACGCCTATTCTTGACGTACAAAATCCTTGCTCACTTTTTCAAGCAAGTCGTTGAAAAAAGACGTGTGTGATAGTTCCCCTATATCCATGAACAACAATTTTATGAACAATTCTTACTGCAGACGTTAGAATGAAAGTGTTCTGTTCAGTGAAATTCAATGCGTATGTTATCTGGGAAATATTTACTTTTATGCACTGTCTCTAAAATGTGAGGGCATTTCGAAAGTACTGTTATGCATGACTCTCTAAGATCCTAAAGTTCCCATCGAAACATTGCATTTTTTGAGTACCCCCTGGGAGCCACATTCATCAATACTGAGCCCTGTTTAAGAATGTGAAATAGATAGGTGTGTATTCTGGGCTTAGGCGCCTGACAAGTAAAATAGACGTTCCAATGTGACATTCCTCCGTATTGATCCTCTGGCTTTATAAATGTCGTATTTTTTTGTTGGTTCGGTTTCTGCGCTTTTCGGTGAAATATGGAGGAAGTAACTAGGCTCTTGTGAGAAATTCTCTCGATCGCATGGCAGCAGTTGTCAGTTTTAATGATTTAAGCGGTGTACTCGGCTGGCTATATGTTGCTAAACGCCTGCTGCTCGTGAGATTTAGTTCAAGGAGATAAGCCACAATGTTCTTTGTTATTATGTGATTCAAATTCTTAAAATTTAAAAAATCTCTCTCCCTTTACGTCTCTACATGCAACATTTTTAATTTAATTTGTGCACGGCAAGGGATACTATGGGCTGCATTGAATGGAATTCGTAGAAAAATCACCGATTCTTTGATGATAACATCGGTGTTTGAGAGTTTTGCATCCTAAAACTTATGTCATTTATATATTTTGTTTATATATTCGCAGTATGCTGTGAAAACTACCTTTACGTGATGTAACCCATATGCGCACACCACTAAGGTTGAGATGGTCGACCCATCAGATCTTTGTATACTTGTAAGGCCCTGGAGTTTACCCAGTTTGTTTCGTTGTTATGTAAATACCATCTATCAAGAAGGTGTGTGAATTCAGCCACTTCTTCACGATTCATCGTCCTCTGTTCTGTTTTCATTAGCACGTTAAAAGCTCTTGAAGTTAGTTTTGTCGAAATAGCAGAGCAGCAATGGCACCACTGAGTTTTCATAACGAACAATCGACGTCGGTTATAGATGGGAAGGAACTTTACTGCTTTACGAAAAGAATCCTATCAGACCGCTATTGATTCTTGCGATTAGTAGACTGATCATTCGAGGGCTAGGTGACGGAGCAAATCTTATCAAAAATGTTGGGAAAGGATTTTTTATTAGGGAATAAATTTTAGTGAATCATCACGATGAAGTTCTGATCATTGGGGTGCACAAATATTTCTCCTGCTTTTTGTCTTTGAAGCTCATATGTTAATTAGCAAAGCAATCCATCAAATGGATTTACTCTAGTGATTCAACGAGCGCCTCGTTGATGTGGGGAGTTTCTGTATCAACATCCAAATTTATAAAAAGGAATTATTACTATTTTCAGTTTCTCATACGAAATTTTTTTTGCAGTATATTCTAAACTTAATAACAAGCTTAGTAATGCCTAGGATTTCAGGATCACAATGACCACGATACTAAAATTCGTGTAGTAAACCATCCGAAATTCGCTGCTTTGTAAGCTTTTCATTATCAGCAATTGATTAACAAAAATCATCTTGGTATTGTCTGGAGTCTATAATCAATGATTCTCTTGTAAAGTTGTGTCAGAACTTCCCCTAATATCTAACTCTAGCAGGAAGCCTTGTTTATGCCGCAGTTCTTCACGTGACGTTAAAATTTTTCTTCGTAAAACAAAAATGCAAAAAACTGGGATGTAAAAGCGAACGAAAATCGTTGCCTTAAGTTAGAAATCCGTAAGTACTGCTGTGAAATCCTCATTGTGTGATATGCTATCGCTTCTTGCGGAAATTGACGTGGAGATGAGGTAAGAAATAACTGAGAGGAAATTCGACGATTAAACACACATACATACACAAAAGGACAGTTATGAGAGTTTGTACGTGACGTTTGTGTAGACGATGCGAAAAAGTGAGGAAACAAAGATGTGAAGACAAATTCAGAGAGGAACGTATTGAATTTCGAAGGAAGTGGATGTGCTGGAGGGCTTGTTGATGCTCGAGAATGGCGCCTGCCGAGCCGATGTGGGCGGAGCTGGCCAGCGAGCACTGGATGCCGCCACCGCCACCAGCGCGACGACCGCGCGCGTAAGCCCTCCGCCAAATCGCTTCTCGGCCTGTAACCTCAGGGCATTTGTCCAGTGTGCACATTTCTCCCTAGTGTACTTGCTTTGCGAGCAACTGTCTATAGTGTGGCATATGTGCATGTCAAATAATACTAGCATGAGATGTCAGATGTATTTATACAGCTAACGTCATCGATCCGCAGTAGAATGCAGTATATGAAAAAATGGTTAAAATGTGATCATTTTGTTTAGTCTTGTGAAAGTCAAAAATCCTGTGGTAGCCTGTAACTGCTGTTTAACGACATATGGTTGCTGAAGAAGTCCAAGCACTTTATGGTTGTAGAAGCCGATCGACAAGGATTTTCGTGGATAAGCCCTCATCACATGTCCCGTAGATTGCAATGTTACAATTTCTTTGGATCGGATATGAGCGCTACTGAGATCTAAAAATCTGTCCCTCTTGTCCACATTGACTTAGTATATGCTCGTCGAACGTGGTTTTTCATGGAATCTTAGCATGAAACAAAATGTTAAAGAGTGCACAGGTCTTCGCCATAGGCATTTGCCGTTCGTCGTGGGAAAGAGGATTTGCTGCTGTGGGGCGTTGGTCTTTTAAATGCAACAGCAATTTCTCTGATAGCAACGAATCCAGCGATTTTCAACAACACTTAGATTGATAGTGAAAAACATTACAAGTTGTAAATATTCAGGGCGAGATAAGAGGAACGTGGAAAGGCATAAAATCTGCACGAAAGGTTTTCTAGTGTCTTCAGTAAACTTGGAAGTGAATGTGGTTGAATTTTTTATTACGGTAATTAACTAATCCCTGTGAATAGTCTGAAGCGTTTGGCTAGACTGTTGAGAAAGGAGCTTTAATAGCATTATATTGTTTCTAGTATTCATCAAAAGTAAACACAAATACACATATCACGTTAGTAGAAAAATGGCTGTGTATGCTATCATCATAAATTCAAACACAAACATTTTGTAATAAGTCCTCATTGCTAACGTTGCTTATATATATTATTTTTATTTGACAATCGTTCATGTCATATATTTATTTATGTGATCTTATAAACTGATCTTCTTAAGCTGACGCGAGGTTGGTATAGGTCTTCGTTGTCGTCGTCGTTGTTTTTGATGTTATTGATCGATGACTGACGTTTCGGCGACTTCGCCTTCCTCAGAGCCTGGACGTACTTTATGTCAGAATACTTTTTATTATTCGGTGGAAAAAAAGGTTAAAGTATTAATGAAGATCAAACTTTCAAATAGACGCCATATTGAACAGAAAGGCCACTCACCGTGTTGTTACGTGCGGGACTGGCCCACACGTAGTTCACATGGGGTCGCCGGCAAGACACACCTCGGGGTCAAAATATCATTTTGAAATAGGGCGCCAGGTGACGCGTGATAGTGAGGCATTCGTCCTTCCGGTTCATCTTTGGATTTTTGAAATTTATCCAAAACGCCTCAAGAGTTTTGCGGGTTTATGTTTTTGATTCCTGCGCTAAGATCCGCACATTCACTTCAAAATCATCGCCGTTGTGCTTTTGTGTCCTATGAGTACCTAGAGGGGTGTTTAAACGGATTTTAGCTTTTCCATCTAGATGTTCTTTTATGCGGACACACAGTGGTCTACCCGTTTCCCCGATATATTCCTCGCCGCATGCATTACATGAGATCAAGTATATTATACCTAAACTCATGCAATCCCCGTCTCTCCCGTTAGGACAGATCATACAGTTTTCTGAGCTGCACAAACGATCATAGAGACGGTTTCGAACTAACTGGCGGCGTAGGGTATTGGGTGGGATGTCAATAATCGTTACATAATTTTCAAGACCACTTTTTCTTAAGCACTTTTTAATGGTGTGACTAACTTCATTTGATATGAAGGGCAACATAACGGGG